TGAAATTTTTAAAATTTCAAATGACGAGGGAACGATAGAAATTGTTTTGAGCAAGGAAAGTGCTCTTTCAAGTAACGTACAGTTTGCTTCACATGAATTCATTTCCGTGAATTTTCAAGGAACATAAGGAAAAAATTTTAAACGTTTACGGCTATTCGACTGCAAATCGAAGAATCGATAAAAAAAAAATCGATAAAGACACTTCATTATTTCGTAACTGAAAATACTAAGATTTGAAGAGTAGAAATAATTCTCCGACAACATAAAGTTTGATAGCTACACTGAAACAATTTTGCACGACAAGTTATTAAATGTTGTTTTTGAGCAAGGGCATTCTAATTGCCCTCCAACAGGCAATTCACATAAATTGAAACTAGGCTTTGATAAAATATAGTGCTTAATGCAATATTGGAGAACAAGACAAATTAAAATGTTCAGGCTTCAACTGTCTGTCGAATTAAAACTGATCAAAACAGAATTTGCCAAGATGACTGACATGATCACGTAAACGGTAGTTACCATCACGGTTTGATTTCACCATGCAGCGCCACCTTTAAATACTCTACAAAGGTCATAGCCTAGTAACCGGTTTTCAAACTTAGGAGAGTTGAGCGATTGTACAACAATTTGGAATTTTCAAAACAAAATACTAGTAACAAAAACAATACTAGACTTTGACAAATACACGTCGTAAAGCATTATAAATTACAAATTAATTTAGTTGATGATCGCTCGAGCAAAGAAATAAAACTCCCCATAATTTGAAAACGTGCACTAAATGATAGCTAGAAAGCAGTTTAAACCTTTCCGTCAAAAATGGCACAGTTAATTTACAATCACTACCGAAATTAAATTTTTCGTGCCCCAATGTCACTTCCGATGCAAATATTTTGGCCGAGAAAAAAACAAAACGATTTTGAACTCGAAGATATCTCTTCTAGGTTAAACACTGCCATTTTTTATCGGAGAGATTTCAATTTAACCGAGTTCTCAAATGCTCTTCTTAACATTGGCTCCATCCTCCCTACTTGAATCCTTTTGATCTCCTTATGTTTTCATGACTTTCCTGTCTTCAGTCGTTTACTCCCTGAAAATAGAGTAGATACAAGTTGCGTAAGGAACAAGCCCAAGTGTGGATACAAACGAGGAGTAGAGAATTCACAGTGAAGTGTTAGTACACGTGCGCGCATTGACAAGCACAAGACAAAGTTTGACAAAGAAATGTAATTTTTATAAAGATAGCCAAACTCTCGTAGAAAAAAATCCCCTAAGAACCTAGCATCTCGTGTCGTTCCAGAACAAGCTTCTATCGTACATTTTACTCTCTTACAAAAGCCATACTGTTGTTCTCAAGTTCAACACGAAACGTAAACCGAGTCCGGCAAGCGCACGTGGTAGAATGACTTGAAGCCGGTATTTCTGGTTGAAATATTACCTTAGAAGGTAGAATGCAAAGAAATTGATACTGACCATTGGCAGAAATGGGTGTCAACCAGGAGCCATCCGACTTCTCGTCCCCAAACATTGACGCCATTTCTTCTTCAAAGAATTCGCCTTTCGTGTAGAAGGGAACAGAACACATCTTACTCCGACGGCAGATACCTCAAAATGATAAACAAAGACTTCAGATCAGCAATAGTCATGAATATGGAAAATAACATTGGACCAATCAGCTAAAAGACACGCCACGAGTTATTAATGACAACACCCTTTGCACGCTTTCTTCGGTAAAACTCTGCATCTTCCTTTGTTTATGGGGAGCCCACGTGAACCAGTATGGACTGGTTATAAACATATAATTAAGCTTTTTTTACAGTCTTGAATGCCTGTCTATCCGGCTCATTTTGAATTTGGTAGCGTTCATTTTAACATTCCAAGATACAAAAACTGATTAATAATTACAGTTTTTCTTTTCCACTATCCATTCATCCTTATGCTACACTTAAACCGCCGTAAGGCCACGTACAACTTGTATTCAGGAAAAAATAAAGGCCAAAAACCAAGGTTGTCGAAGTCATTAACAAGGCAAAGTCTCAACGAAAAATCCTTGTTTTAAATCTAGTGTTTCGTGTTTGACGGCAAATACGACATGTGACCGCGTGACATTATCAGTGCTTGTCTAACTAGTGCCAGTCCCAGACATAGAGAGTCGCGCTTGCTGTGAAACTTGCACACAATTTTGATGAAAAAGAAATATTTCTGCTTTCCCCATCACCCTACCTTTGCATGTAGGGAACTCACCGGAAGCCGAGGGAAACGTAGGGGGTTGTGAATAGCGGAACGCACGGAGAACGTGCGATGAAAGCTTTCATACATGTAGCTGGTGACGGTTTGTTCTGAGCCAGAGTAAAAACATTAGGAAAATCAGGTTTTTGATCAGCCTTACATCTTTATAAAATTTTTTTATTAGGTCCATTGTTGCCTTTTCTCCTTACAAAGATTCGTGGTTATTTTGCTCTCGTTTGCACAAGCTGATGCACTCTTTTTGGTCTTTATATATTGATTACCAGCTCAAAAAAAAACGGGGGTTGGCAAGACGGGAATGCTGGATGGGAACTTTCGGTAACCCAGGTTTGATCGCTTATTTCTACAAGTGTTTTTTATTACTAAACAAGTTGAAGTAAAAAGGAAAATTAAAAAACAAAAGATCAGTGTTAAACCAAAAAATTATGAGTTTGAGACCAGTTCCGCGAACTGATGCTCTTCTAAACTTCGCTCGAGTGCTTTTACTGCATGAAATGACAAAAACCACCTGGATACTGAGGATTCATTATAAACTAGGCCTTTTACTGGGCTCATATTTGCACCTAGAGGAAACCACAGTGAATTCATGAGAAATGTTCTAGGGAACTAATCTATAATCTATGGGGAACGCATAGGGTAACGTGCACCGTAACGGACAGAAGCGCAAGGTGAACGGATAGAACGCACAACGACATATGCATGGGAGAGCGCAAGTTGGAACGGGGGAACAGACGGCTTATGCACGGCTAAAATCGGCAGGAAATCCACAGCTAAACCAATAGGAGAGCTCTCAGAGTTGCGCATAGAGGAACACACCTGGACACGACAAAATGTGAGAGTAAGCGGGTTTGCGTACCGGCAAACACAAAAGGGAAAGTACCGGGAGGCATGGTGTTACAGACCAGCAAATTTAAATGTTTGGGGAGACTCACAGCAAGCCGGCACGAGGAACCCAGGAGGGAACCTCGAGTAAACCCAGTGGGAAAGGCGTGATCTGGGAGAAAAATACGGAAAAGCACAGTGAACGGATTCTGAATGGGAATAATAAACGTATGGAAAGCCCACAGTGGATGAAGGGAGAACAAAGAAGGCAACCAAGGGGAGGGAATAGCAAAGTAGGTAGGTAGGTAGGTAGGTAGGTAGGTAAGACTTTATTTTACGAGGGTAACATTTGTCAGTATTAAAACTGATAACCTAATGGCCCTCAAAAATTAAAATTTTAGAAAAAGAAAGAAATAGTACAATCGTAACAATATTAAAAATAACTAAAATAAAATAATTAAGCCTACATACATCGTAAAATATTTATAAAATGTGATTATTTACAAATTTTAAAAAAATTTACAGGAATAGTTTGCTAAGAAT